CCGCCCCCCCCCCCCCCCCCCCCCCCCTCGACCCACTTGAGTTTGACGCTGCGCCCCGTGCTCTCCCTCCTCGAAAGCGTGCTCGCAAGCGACCGAACCGGCGAGGAGAGCGAAGACGACTCCGTCCTCGCCCCCGGCCGATGCCCCTTCTCCTTCTCTTTCTCTTTCTCCTTCCGCCGGTCTCCCCTGATGGACCCGGCGAACCCGAGGCTCTCCTCCGCGATCTCTTCCCCGTACACCTGCCGCAGACCCAGACGCCCGTTCCATCACCCGGTTCGAGAACGTGCGGAATCTCGTCCACGGGAACGGTAACGTTAACGGGAACGGGAACGGGAACGGGAACGGAGTGCCATCGCGAATATCGGAATCGATATCACGCTCCGTCCATTTTCGTTCGCGGTCTCGTCCCCGCCCCGAATCCGCAAAACTCTACTCCCCGCAAACGGGAACTCGTCGGTGAATCGCTCGCCTGTCTGACGGCAGCGACGAGACGGTGGCAGCTCCGCATCTGTCGCAGGTGGCAGCGGAAGAGGCAGAAACCGGCGTGAGGGCAGTTCACGTCGAACGAATGCAGCAGTCTGGTCACGGACTGAACCGAAAAGAAAATTCGCATTCATTTTATCCTATTTTAATTTTAATGATATTCATTTTACTCTATTCATGCCAGCACCCAATCAAATAAAAAAAAAATATAAAAAAAACGACCAGACCTTGATCCACGGGAAGTGACGCGAATAAAAAGAATCATCCGGCTCCGTGTCCGACGGACTCTCCCCGCTCGGCGACGCCCCCGACCCCTGACCGGGGCCGGGGCCCGAGAGATAGTCCCCGGCCATGGACTCCTTGTCCTCTCCCCCGCTCCCGGCCCCGTCGAGGTCCTCGGACACATCGCTCCGATCCGACATCGTCGACACCTTCCTCTGGAACCTCACCGAGTCCGACCTCTTCACCCCCGCCCCCCCTACACCCCACCCCCTCTTAAATAAAATTCAAAAATAAAAAATATATATATATAAATTCGAAGGTCTCACCCTCGCAATCCGAATTCTTCCGTTCGTGCCTCGACCTCCTCAACCGGAACGACCTCCGCTTGAAAGACGCCTGGAGACCCCCGAGCCCCCCCGACCGACGCGGCACCGAGATCCTCGACCCCGAGATCCTCCTCCTCGCATCCCCGCCTTCCTCCTGCGCGATTCCGATCTCAGCGCGATTCTCTTCCGATCTCAGCGCGATTCTCTTCCGATCTCGGATGCGAGCAAGAACTCACGTTGGCCAGGGTGGTCGTGCTTCCGAGGGACTCGTCTTCCGCTTCCTGGACAACGAAGCTGATCTTCCTGTCTACCGATCCCCCTGCAGGTAAAGAGATAATCCTCGGCTAAAGAGATGATATTTGGTTTAAGGGATCACCTTCGGTTAAACCGAGCAAAATTACGAGAATGTCATCTCCCTGCTCCTCAACGAGAATTTCAGAGCTCTAAATTTATTTAACGCTTTCTTGTTTAACTTGCATTTATTATGAATTTAAATTAAATGAATTTATCAATAATACAAATAAATAAATAAACGAACCGGCGTGTGAATCCCCTCCGATGGACTGAAGGCTCTGCGCCGAGGAGTGCGTGAGGGCGGCGCTCCACCGCCGGTCGCCGGGTGTGGGCCGCGCCAGCGTCCCGTGGGGCGCCGCTGCCGCCCCCGTCCCGTGCCCCCCTCCCTTCGCCCCCACCCCCCCGGTCGGGGGCAGGTAGTGGAAGGACTCCCGGAGGAAGCACGTGATCTCGAGCAGCAGCAGGCACACGATCAGCTGCAGGGCCGGGG